CTAAAGAATATGCTATTTAAAATGTCTTAAGAACTTTGTCTTTTCTTGACAATGAGACATGCCTGCTTCTGGCAGCACCAATTACTTCAGAGAGGTTGATGGGCACTGAAGAAACTTTGTATGGAATTTGTTTCAATGTGACAAAGTTAGCCATTTGGGCAAGAAATTGCTCTTGGCTGGACTGCTTGATGGTATGTTGTATGAACTGGACACTCAGGATCCACAGAAAAGTAACTAAGCTTGTCAAAAAGATGAGACAGTCCTTCAGGGTTCCTGATTCACGAAAGAAACTGCCAGGCATTCTGTAGGTCACAGAAGAAAGCAACTGATGAACTTTGCCTGTACAAAACGCGGAAAAGTCTGCTGGATGTTATAGGCCTGTAGACTGAAAATGGATGCCCTGACATCATAGAAGAACTTTGGGTGGCTGTCCAGGCAGCGAGATGTCTCAGTCATTTCTAGAACTTTGGAGTTGCATACGATGCACTTCCTGTTTACTTAGGTAATGTTATTTCCTTCTAGTCTTTGAAGGAGTTGAAGACAGATAGCTATAGTTATAGTTTTCCTTAGTTATGATAAAAGATAAATTAGATATGAAACTTGAGACTCACAAAGAAATATTGTAACTGTAATTCTTGCTTGATACCTGTTTTGTTATATGTAATTTTACTATGTTGAAGTTAAAAAACCTTCCTTTTTATTTAGACAGAAAAGGGGAGACAATGTCTGATGTCTTTCTGTATATGTGATGCTTTTATTGGTTAATGAATAAAGCTGTTTCAGTCAATGTCTTAGCAGAGAAATCCAGGTGGGAAACTCAAACAGATAGAGAGAGGGAATAGGCAGAGTCAAGGAGAGGACATGTAGCTGCCAAAGGAGAAAGACACCTACCGGTAGGGCACAGCCTTGTGGTGATACATAGATCGATAGAAATGGGTTAATCTAAGATGTAAGAACTATCTAGGAATACTCCTAAGACACTGGCCAAACAGTGCTGTAATTAATATGGTTTCTGTGTGATTATTCGGGTCTGACAGTTGGGAAATGAATGGGCCCTCTCTGCCTACAGTAAACAACTTCTTGAAACAAAGGCATGGTTGCCGTTCCTGGAACAGGTAGAGCCATTTGTAAAGGTTACAGGGGGCGTAGGGCCATCCTTGAGAATCAGCTTTAATTATAAACAAGAACCAGCCATTTCTGTCTTTACTGTAAGATGGATTTTAAACCCAAAATGTCCATAACTCCAGTTCCAGGAGATCAAACAGTTTCACAGACTTACATCCAAGCAAAATACCAATGCACATAAAACAAAACAAAATATCATAATCAACCAAATGATGGAGATTTTGCTGCATCCAGTAGGTGCTCAATAAATGTTGGTTCTTTTCAGACACAGCAAAAAATCTAGAGCCGTGCATGGCCTAGGTTAATTGCTTGCCCAGCATGCACCAGGCTCGGGTCCCATGCCCGCCTGTCAACTAAAGTTGTGGAGGGACCCTTGTGTCCCCCTTTCTGTTGACTGACTGGTGAGAATCCAGTGGCTGCTGAGAGCTGGGACACTGCAGCTCTCGAGTCTGATTATCGTAAGCTACGTGCCCCTAAATAATGAGTCGCTGTCCCCTCCTGTGTGTAACTGCACACACAGGGCCCTGATGTCCACCATCCCAAAGGCTCAGGCGCCACATGTGTCTGGAGAGATAATTCAGCCATTAAAAGGAGTTGCTGATCTTGAGAGGAACCACGTTCTGTTACCAACCCCCAATGACTTGCCACAGTCAGATACACCAGCACCTGGGGGTTGGGATTGTTCTTCAAGGGTTCCTGGGCTTCACACACTCACCACACATATAAATTAAAAAAAAAAAAAATCTTTTTGAAAAGGCTAAGGCTCACTGGAGCCTGAGATAATAACAAGAAAAGGACTCACTTCGCGGGTGCAGAACACGTTGCAAACTTTTGGGTTCACACAAACTATCCCCTGGGAATCCAGGCAGCATCACGGCGTCCACTCGGTATGGTCAGACCCTCTCTTTAGTTACAGGAACTAAGAAGCCCGTCAACCAGCCTGGTCTTCAGTTTCTCAGACCACCAAGCCCAAACCATGACATACAGACTTATTATTAACTGTGAGTGCCCAGCCTAACTTAGGCTTGTTTCTGACTAGGTTTTTTTGGGTTCTTTTTTTGTTTTTCGAGACAGGGTTTCTCTGTGGCTTTGGAGCCTGTCCTGGAACTAGCTCTGTAAACCAGGCTGGCCTCGAACTCACAGAGATCCGCCTGCCTCTGCCTCCCGAGTGCTGGGATTAAAGGTGTGTGCCACCATCGCCCAGCCTAACTAGTTTTTTTTACTTAAATTAACCAATTTTTATTAATCTGTGTGTTGCCAGAGGATTGTTTCCCCGTCTGCACACTTCTGTGCTGCCTCCTGCTTCCTCTGTCTGTCTGCCAGGCTCCCTTCTCTCTACTCCCAGCCCAGCCTGTCTTTCTCTGCCTAACTATTGGCCCTTCAGCTTTTATTAGACCAATCAGGTGCCTCAGTCAGGCAAGGTGAAACAGCAGCTCATCTTTGCATAGTTAACCAAACTCAGCACAACAAAGGCAACACTGTTTACATAGCTAAACAAATATTCTATTCCACCTGTTTCCGCACCTATGAAATGGACATAATCTCTAGGATGCTATGCAGGACCTGCACCCAGAGCCGTGCCTCCCCCCTCACTGGGGACCCTAGTCTCCTTGTGTAGCCCAGGCTGTCCCGTCAAGCATGGGCAGCAGTGACCAGACAGAAGGTCCTGCTGTCCTACGTCCTCAGTGGTGGGTGTGGCCATGTTCTTGTGGTTCATGGGCCCCATGGAGATGCAGTCCGGGGCTACGCTACATTAGCCGCTCTGGCTTGGTCATGCCTATTTTCTCTAAAGCAGCTTCTATATCTCTGTGGGGTCTCTGCAGACAGCAGGGTTGGCAGAGGAAACCGTGCTCAACACGACTCAGGAACTGGTTTCTGGAGTCTGACTGCAGCAGGTGACATAGTTACTCTGAAGCACAGTGCAATGCTGGGGAAGAGTCCTGAAGCGATTGACTTATCGTGTGTGGTTCAGACAAATTCACGTGGAACCCCTTTACAAAGTCCATATGGCCTCTTCCGTAAAGATGGGGTTGTTGACTCAGAAACAAAGTGTGCAGGAGAGGGTGTAGGGAGAAGCAGTGTAGTTGGCAGTGACCAACGCTGCAGATGGCGCAGGTTCCTAAGACTTTAGCTCCCCCATTCCCAGCTTTCTGTGGAAACAGGCATGCATCCTTCTCTGTGGGCACAAGACCCTCCTGCCCTCTACACAATACCACCATGGCAGCTCACAGGCCTGCTAACCCAACACTGGGGTGGGGGAGCAGAGGCAGGAGGATGACAATTCTGGGGCGATCTAAGCTACACTGGCTGAACAGGCGGAAGTCACAGTTCAGAATCTTTACCTTTAAATTCCTTGAGAACCAGAAACTGGGTTTGCGGAACACAGAGTGAGAGCCTTTTAGGCGGGATCCAGTCAGGGTTGGCGTGTCCCTGGGCACTTAGCATGTCACCTGTCACCTACTGTGGTCTGGTCCTGGCCAGCAGCCCTTCCCCTTCCTGTGGACAGCTGGATTATGCCCACTGCAGAGAGTCCTCAGTGGTCCCCGTGGCCATCACAGGGAAGATGGGCAGATCTGCAGTTGAGAGAGGCTGGAGCTACCGAGGGGGAGCGGGGGAGGCTGCACAGGGCTGGGGTGTTGGACCTCGGTGCTGAGAGGTTCTGTGTCTGTGTCGCTGTCTCTAGGGATCTTGGCAGTTTCATGAATGTGTCACTGGCATTTGGAGAGGCTGAGGGTCCCACTATCTCTGCAGGTTTCAAGGTTTCAATATTTTGGGGGTATCTCTGAGCATATATGGTTATTGGGCTACCCCTAGGTCTGGGGATTGCTTTGATCTCTGCAGTGACCTTGGAGAATCTGGTGGCCTGGCCCCGCCTGTGCACACCCAGTCTTCTGGGGATGAGCTGCACCCCACTTCCTTGTCTAGCTTTACTTTTTATTGTGTTCAGCACAAAGAAAAGATGGACAGGCCACCAGACTTACCTCGTTCCCCAGGACTGAGAGGCCAGAGGAAGCAGGAGAGATGGACTGCAGGAGAGACGCTGTCTCAGAGAGAGAGAGCCCCCACCGCTGACAGCTGGGCCCCCGTAGTGGAGGGGAGAACAGGTAGATTCCTGCAGGCTGAGGCCCTCACACCCCACACACCCCAAGGAAACGGAATAAGGTAGATAACAATGAGGAAACCGGCCACATCCACACGTTCACTCTACTGTGCGTCTGTCCTCCACATCCCCAAGAGCCCTGACATCATGAACAGACTTGAGGCTGCTAGGGCCCAGGTGAGGTTGGGGTGCTCAAGCCGCTGTGTCTGACATTGGTTACTTGGTGTCATGAGTTCATCCTCAAGGGACGTCACTGTACAGCAAGATCTCCACCCGGCTACTACCGCTAGGCCAGCCCCTCACCCGCGACCCTGCCAGCGCCTTGCTTCTGTGTGGGGAGAGGCCACACGGGCATTGGTGGCCAGACTCCTCCACGACCCTGCTTTCTCTTCCTGTCAGTGTCCTGGGTCGGGTTCCTTCAAACAGACCTTGTCACACTCGGACAGGCTCCCCTCCCCTGTGCCCTGTGAGAGGCCAGCTCCTCTGCCCCCTGCCCTTCCTGCCACTTCCTCCTCTCCACTTCCTCCTTGCCAACTGCTCCTCAGGCCCCAGGACCTTAGCTCCTGACAACTTGCAGGGGAACTGCTCCTGATTCTTGTCCTCCCCTCGCAGGCTCTGCAGCCTCTCTTCAACAGCTAAGAAGACTTCCTCTGAGCCTCTGTGGGACCGCAGAAAATTAAGGACAGGTTTTAAGACTCTTTGGCAAACTCCTAGCCATGTGTTAAAGCCCCAGCCTTCATGCCTCCTTCTATAGAATGCCTTGCAAAATCCTGTCCTGTCCCCTTTTCTGGGCCTGTCCTGTCTCCATTGCGTGTGGGGAAGGTCACTGTCCAACTCCGTCCTTTCCCCCAGCCCAGAGCCGCGGCATTTGTAGAGATTGTTCGTTGACTGAATATTTGCAGAGCCCAGCAGAAGTCAGGAAGCGGGTGGGGGACGCTGCGGGCTGAGGAGCGCAGGGTGAGGTCACCGACTTCCAGCAAGAGAGAAGTGGGAAAGGGCGGCCCCTCCCCCTCGGTGAGCGAGCTTGAGACTTGCGGAGGGCGGGTCTCCGCGCCGCCCCTCCACTCCGACTCTCATTCCTGTCTTCCAGATGCTGGGCGCAGAGGTGGAGAACGCCAGGTTGATGGCTGGGCTGCGGTGAACCCCAACCCAGACCCTAGGCACCCCGAGGCTTGCGACACCACAAGGGCCGGAAGGTTAACAGCAGGAGGTGAGACCAGGCCACAAGGCTCTCAGAAGCGTTGTGTCCGCCTCTGCACTCAGGGTTTACGGTACTGAGTAGCCGGGTCTGCAGGAAAGAGGTTGCCAAGACCCGCGGTGGTGGTTTCCAGGACAACCACTCATCTGCATATGGCCACGTCTTGGCCAACAAGAGTGCCGCAGATGATCTTGAAGTTGGGCAGGTGTCTGGGAGAGTGGTCTAGTTGACCAGCAGGTGCCACATGCACCCATTTCACAGATAAGAAGATGGAGGCTTGGGGACCGGGGAGGTGAAGGGACAGTGGCCAACCAAGAGTCTGAGATGGCTGTGGGTGCTTTATTTGGGTTTGAGACAGGGCCTCACTATGTAGACCAGGCTGACCACAAACTCACAGAGATCCACCTGCCTCCCTAGTGCTGGGATTAAAGGAGTGTGCCACCACCTCTAGCCTGAACTATTAATTTTTTTTTTAAACCCACAACATTTAATCCCGGTAGAGAGCACCACCTGACACTTGTGTCCCCACACAGGTTGCTAGAATGGGGGCCACCGGGGCCAGGTTGCTGAGGTCCTGTGTCCTGCTGCTGCTGACCGCGCTGCTCCAGTCGGGAAGTCAAGATCTCACCTGCATGGTGTCCTCAAGCAAGGTGGACTGGACCCAGACATTCAATGACACCTGCCTCAATTTCAGCGGCCTTGGCCTCTCCCTGCCGAGGACCCAGCCCCTGCAGGCCAGTCACTTGCAGGTTTTGGACCTCTCTAGGAATGGGCTGCAGGCTCTCCCCAGGGTCTTCTTTGCCAAGCTGGAGAAGCTGCAAACCTTGATTGTCACCCACAACCAGCTGGTCAGTGTGGAGCCGTCGCTGGCCCTGCGCTGTGAGCTGGAGCTCAGGGTGGACTGTAGCTGCGGACTGGTCTCCTGGCACGGCATTCGCCAGAGCAACTGCTCGGAAGAGCTGCTGTGTCTACACCCGGACACGGGAGCACCAGGGAACCTCTCCACCTTCCTCCAGGTCAGCTGTCCCCCCAGCTTGGCCCCGGAGACCATCGGTGCCCTTGTGGCAGGGACTATCTTCCTGGCTCTGGCTGTCAGTGGATCTGTGTTGGCCTGGAGACTTCGACAACACCGAGGAGCCAGTGGCCAGGGTCTCAGCAAAGCCCAGAGTTCGCACGATACCCCTAAACCTGTGACAGGCTTCCTACCAAGGTACAGCAGCCAGCGACCGGGCCCCAAGACCCCAGACACGCCACCAGGCGGGTCCTCACTGGACTATGAGAATGTCTTCATAGGCGAACTGTCTGAGGACGGCTCAGGGTCCGCACCCAGGTGAGTGACCTGAGATACTGTCCACCGTAAGCAATTCCTAGGCTTCAGCTTAGCATGGAGGTGTATACCTGTCATCGCAGTCCTAAGGAGTCAGAGGCAGGAGGATTACCACGAGTTTGAGGTCAGCCTGAGAATTTCAAGTGGGCCTCGTGCAGGCTGTAGCTTCACATCTCTGTTTATGTGAGGACCATGGGCCTCCCTCATTCCCAGGGCTCAGGGTGAGGTTCCTGCAGGGCTCCTCCCTGTAACCTGCAAACCCAGTTCATAGCTCTGGAGGAGAAAGGGGGAAATGGGCTGTAAACAGCCCAGACTTGTGACTGAGTGCTGTCTGTGTCCCTGTGTCACGGGGACATTCTCCTGCATCTCTCTATGCATACCTACCTGGGATACTCAGCAGTTAAGGCTGAGTGAAGGAGCAAAGGTGCTGGTGGTGTTCCTGTGTTCCCAGCACTGTGAGGGTGGAGGCAGGAGGATCCGAGTTTGAGGCCAGCAGCCTAGACCACATGAGACACTGTCTCAACAAGCAAAACACAGAAAGAAGGAAAGAAAGAAAGAAAGAGAGAGAGAAGTAGAGAAAGAGAGAGAGAGAGAGAGAGAGAGAGAGAGAGAGAGAGAGAGAGAGAGAGAGAGAGAGAGAGAGAGAGAGAGAGAAAGAGGGGGAAGTTTGTGGGTCATCAGACCGGCTAGGAACAGGGAAGGAAGAGAGAGGCCCTGCTGGAAGCTGAGGCTGGGGATTTGGGTAACCCAGTTGCTGAGAACGAGGGTATGCAAATGTTGAAGAGGATGGGGAGGTCATTGACCTAAGCTTGTCACTCTACCACCACCCCAGCGGGGTGAAGACGGCCCCGCCCTGGGCCTGTTGAGCCTCCAAGTACCCAGGGTCGGTTCCTCTCTCACACATAGGGTTCCCAGAGTTCTCACAGCCTTTTCTGCCCCCCCACAGGCAATTGATAGTAAGGAAATACTGTCAGAAAGTGAAGTCTGTGGGGCTGAGCCCAGATGGAGCCATCACCCAGACACACACGGGCGCCATGACCTGCACCACACAGACCAGTTCTAGGAGGCTAGCACACACTACACGGGCAGATATAAAAATCAAATCCAGCGTGTGTTTTCCACCTTGTGTTTTGATGGTGCAGAAATAGAGCCTTTCCACGGCTTGGGAGTGATTTGCCCACCCACTGGGGGCTGAGGGTTCAAATCTCACGCCCAAGAGGGATGATCTTATCCAAATCACCCCTGCCACAGCCAGTTTCCTGTAATGTCAGATAAGTTAGTAACCAACGACAACAGAAGAAACGAGGACCACGGGTTCCTTCTCATCCTTTGACTTACTTAAGAGCTCTAAACCTGAGTGTGTGTGTGTGAGAGAGAGAGAGATAGAGAGAGAGAGAGAGAGAGAGAGAGAGAGAGAGAGAGAGAGAGAGAGAGAGAGAGAGAGATCGCGCAAATAGTGCTGCAGCCCTCTCTGACGCCCATCTGCCCCCCCAGGAGCCCTTCCGAGGACACCGACTTCTACATGAATTACAAGGGTGCCGACCTGGACCCTCAGCCGGTCTACTGCAACCTGGAGTCCCTGGGAAGGGTCCCAGCATACAACCAGGAGTATGTGGCCCCGGGGCGCTGAGTCGTCGCTTCCCCTACCCCACCACCCCCGCCTCCCCTTGTGAGGACAAAACATGAGCCTGGAATCTCTGCCCCTGCAGCCCCCACGCTCCCCAGGACTCTCAAAGTCAGAGGTGGCGCGAGGACCCCCAAAGCAGGAGGGTCACGGAGACGGACTGAACCCTCCGGTCAGTGTGCAGGTGCTGGGGGTCAGTGTGTAAATGCTGGGGCCAGGTGGGGCTCAGCGCGTGACTGACAGAGGTGATTCTCAATCTGGGATTCCCAAGTGACTCTGCACCCATCCAGGCCCCGGGGCTCCAGCCCACCTGTGCCCCTCCCCTGCCCGCTGCTCTCCCCTGCCTCTCCATGTGTCCTTTTTCTTTCCTTCCATCCTTCCCACCTGGGTTCAATGCTCACCAAATAGACATACAAACAAATTAAAAACAAAATAAACCCAAAGAACTGTCCAAGGCTGCCGTGTTTGCTCATGGTTGTCAACTTGACTGCATCAGAATTGATTAAAACCCAAATGGAGGGGACACCTGTGAGGGATTGCTGCGTAATTCTAAGTGGGAAAACCCACTTCTTTTTCTTCTTTTCTTTCTTTTTGTTTGTTTGTTTGTTTTGTTTTGTCCTTCAAGGCGAGGTTTCTCTGTGCAGTCCAGGTTGTCCTGGAACTCACTCGATAGATCCAAGATCCTCCTGCCTCTGCCTCAGGAGTGCTGGGATAAAAGGCGTGCGCCGCCACACCCGCCTGGAAGATCTGCTTCTCAGCCGAACCTTAGAGATGACAGAGGCTTTTGATCTGGATATTGCGGTGGGAAGACACACCTGTAATCTGGACCACCACTTCTACTGGAAGTCTGACAGGACAAAAAAGAAGGGAACTTGTGCTCTCTGTCTACTTCCTTTACCAGCATTGGAACTCACTTCTTCAAGACTCCGGCACCTGTGGAAAACCAGCTGAGACATCCAGTCTTGTAGACTGAACAACTACTGGATGCTTTCTGTTCACAGTCATTGTTGGATTGCCTGGACTGCAGCCTGTAAATCATTCCAATAGACCCTTTTCCCTATACACAGAGAGAGATTCATTCTGTAAGATCTGTTACTCTAGAGAACCCTGACTAACAGAGAGACCCAGGTGCCGCGTGCCACGCCCAGAAACCTTCCAGGGCTCTTCAGACAAGGCAGAGCTCCCCAGAGCTCAGTGTGTTGTCAACTTATGACACTCCGTGCTGGCCTGGGGCCTGCTGAAGCACGACGTGGTCAGAGGCGCTCCCAATTCTGGGTGTTTGGAGGAGAGATGGGAGGAAGGTCCCCAAAGGGGACAACTGGAATGGCTTGAACAGGGTTTCATGTAACAGGAGGATCTCCAGTGCATCCCGCAGGAGGCCTAGGAGCTGAAGAAGTGAAGGGGAAGAAAGACATTGGAAGCAGCTGATGCAGGCCGGCACCGGTACGGACAGAAGGGACCATTGCTGGCTTGGTGTTTAACGTCCCAATGGGTTCCTGTTGCAGCAATGGACACCCAAGCCAGAGCCAGGAGAGGAAAGGCCATGGCTGTGGGCTGACTTGCTCCTCCAGGCTGCGCACACAGACCCAGCCACCAACACACAGCTGGCAATGACTGCTCCCTCCCACATCACTGTCCATCAAGAAAATTCCCTGTTGCTGCTGCATGCCTTCAATCCCAACACTCGGGAGGCAGAGACAGGAGGATCTCTGTGAGTTCAAGACCAGCCTGGTCTACAGAGCTAGTTCCAAGAGAGCCAGGGCTACACAGAGAAACCCTGTCTCCAAACAAAACATACAAACAAGAAAATCCCCCACAGGCCAGTCTGATGGCATGCTCTCTGCTAAGAGTCCTCTTCCCCAGGGACCCACCATCGCCCTGCCTGCCCCACCTCAGGACCTTCTACACCAGCCTGGCTTCACTTCACCCATCCCCCCTCAGGTGGCTTCTGTACCAGACCATCTAAACCTAAATGGTGTGGGAGGGGGCATTTCTGCCCATCTCAGATAGGTGGGCATAGGTGCGAGGGCCTGGACTCAGCAATTCTGAAACACACAGAAGAAATGTTTCTCCTGGGAGATAAGGTGTGGGTGAAACTTCCTCATAACTTATTGTTTACTCCTTGCTCTTTTCATATGAAGGTATCATAAAGGTGTCCTATGACAGTGTCCTATGAAGGTGTCCTATGATGGTGTCCTATGAAGGTATCCTATGACGGTGTCCTATGAAGGTATCCTATGACAGTGTCCTATGAAGGTATCCTTTGACGGTGTCCTATGAAGGTGTCCTATGACGGTGTCCTATGAAGGTGTCCTATGACGGTGTCCTATGAAGGTATCCTATGAAGGTATCCTATGAAGGTGTCCTATGACGGTGTCCTATGACGGTGTCCTATGAAGGTGTCCTATGAAGGTGTCCTATGACGGTGTCCTATGACGGTGTCCTATGACGGTGTCCTATGACGGTGTCCTATGACGGTGTCCTATGAAGGTGTCCTATGAAGGTGTCCTATGATGGTGTCCTATGAAGGTGTCCTATTAAGGTATCATAAAAGCAATGGCTGGAAACTAGAAGGGCAAATACCTCTTCCCTGCTGGGGTCAGCATAATTTTTTTTTTTTTTTTTGGAGAGGAAAGGGTTTATTTGGCTTACACTTACACTTACACATCACAGTTCATCACTGAAGGAAGTCAGGATCAGCATAATTTTGTAAACTCACAGACTTGATGACCTGGGGCTGTCTATGTTTGAAAAGGTGACCCCCCCATACTGGGAGGGCCATAGAAGAGTGACTGGGGTGAAGCCAAGCACTGTCCCTGTGACAAAAACAGAGTTACAGGGCACTGTCCAGACAAATCAGTTAACTGTTGTCATTACATTGTGTGTGTTTGGTGCACGAGCACGTGTGTGCACATGTGTGTGAATGTGTGTACGAGTGTGAATGTGTGTGTGCGCATGCGAGTCTGTGTGTGTGCATGTGCAAGTGTGTGCGAGTGTGAGGGGGGAGAGGGAGGGAGGAGGGAGCGTGCATGGAGATCAGAGGACAGATTTCAGGAGTCATGTCTACCATGTGACCAAGTGAGCCTCTGGGAATTGAACTCAGGTCTTCAGGCTTGACCACAAGCCCTTTACTCATGGAGCCGCCTCACGAGTCCCAAGAGGTCACAACACCCTCTAGCAGCTCACCCATTCTCACCCACTCGTCCCTTCAGCTGATGCCTTGGGGAAACAGGCTAGAAAGGTGTTTATCTTGCTGAGGTCACTGAGGCACCGTCTCAGACCCCCATATAAACCAGTCTCACGTTTATTAAGAGTTTTAAATAAATAAACAATCCATTCACCCACCCAGTGTGACCCCAATAAATTAATAATATTAATAAATACAAATATAAATAGCAGGAGGGGTAGGGAGTGCAGGTGAGGGGCACACTCGGCGCTCATGCGCAGTGGCAGCCCCGGGCCACCAGGTCGTCGTAGGTCTGCAGTGACACGCCGCCGTCCGTCCGGTGCATGAGGACCACCGGGGTGTAGCTGGAGGGGACGCAGCAGGGGGCAGGCACCCGGTCGGGCTGCAGGCCGTGCAGGCGCGCTTTAATCTGCGCGTGCGTGCTGGCCGAGCGGTAGAGGTGCGGACACTCTCCCACGCACATGCTCAGTTGCAGCTGGCGCGGGGACAGCACCCAGTCGCTCCAGCCCAGGTCCTCGAGGGTCGCATGTACAGTCTGCAGATGACAGCAGCGCCCGGGACCCAGCGGGCAGGAGTCTCTGGGGAACGCGTGTGCGCTGCGGCGCCCCCTGCCGGCGGCCGACCGCAGGTGCAGTTCCAGGCGCGCGCCGCTAGAGGGCGTCACGGCCAGGTCCGGGGGCAGCGCCAGGCGCAGGCGCAGTGCGCGGCCGTGGGGTCCCCCGAGGCTGAGCGCGCGCTGCAGGGGTGCGGTGACGTCCCAAGCCCGCGACGAGGGCGACAGCATGAGAAGTGCTCGGTGCACGCGGTAAGCTTCGTGGAGACCCTGGGTCAGCGACGCCCGGCGGACGCGGAGCAGCAGGTGGCCGCGCGGCCCCAGTCGTACTGGAAAAGAAACGGAAAGCCGTCACCCGTGTGCCTGTCCCGCGTGCAAGGCGCAGGGCGTCAGGCGTGTGCCCATCACGCGTGTACTGTACACGGACGTCTCGCGTGTGTCCGTCCCGCGTGCAAGGTGCAGGGTGTCAGGCGTGTGCCTATCACGCGTGTACTGTGTACGGACATCACCCGTGTGTCCGTCCCGCGTGCCAGGTGCAGGATGTCAGGCGTGTGCCCATCACGCGTGTACTGTGGACGGACGTCTCGCGTGTGCCCTCCCGCGTGCAAGGTGCAGGGCGTCAGGCGTGTGCCTATCACGCGTTAATCTGCACGGACGTCACCCGTGTGCGGCCCACAGTCTACACAGCCCTGGCTGTCCTGAGCTCGCTCTGTAGGTCAAGCTGGCCTTCGGGATCCGCCAGCCCCCCTCCCTGCTGGGATTAAAGGTGTGTGTTTGGTGGCTGACACCTGTTATCTCAGAATTTGAGAGGCGGAGGCTGGAGGATTGCCCTGAGTCTGAAATCCACGTAGGCTACAAATGACTCTATGAAAAAAAAATCCCAAAAGAAAAATTTTAAACTTGGGACGGGTTCTCACTGTGTAGGTGTGGCCGCAGCTGTCCTTGAACTCACGGCAATCCTCCTTCCTCAACCTCTGGAGTAGTGGGGGACACAGGTGTGCGCCCAGCTCGGACACCGCTACAGTTCTGGAGACCCAACCCGCCTGGCCCCGCCCCCGGACCCCGGGGTCCTCCTCCCTCCCACCCAGGCGACCGTCACTTGTGACTAGCGGAGTCTTGACCAGCGATTGCGTCAGATTCCTGATCCAGTTCCTGCAGGTTCCTCCCCACCTGGCTCCAGCCACCCAGGACTCCCTCCGTGCCCCCCGCCGACCTGAGCGCTGTGCAGCCGCCCTGGCCTCTCTGGATGCCATCTGTCCCGCTCCGGTCCGGGGACAGGCTGGGCTGAGCCTCGTGGGCTTGAACGCGGGTTAGGCTCGGGGAGTATGTTGCTCAGGCGGGTCCCCAAATGCCACTCACCTTCTGGAGTGAGTATCCGGACAGTCGTGCCGGGGTTGGGTTCTGAGTTCGAGTCCTCGCGGCTCTGGTTGGCGTGCAGCCGGCTCAACAGGTCCTGGAAGCGATCTCGTAGCTCGTGAGCGTCGAGTCGGGACTCCGGGTGGGAACGTCGCTGTTCGGGCAGTGCCAGGGCGTCCCCGGGCGATGGCCATGACAGCAGCAGCAGGAGCAGCAGCAGGAACAGCAGGAACCTCAGCTGCGAGCCGCCTGGAGGCTGGGCCTCGGGCGCGGGCAGGGCCATGTCGGTTGTGCCTTCGGTGTGGCTGTGAGCTGAGCCTTCTGCCGCCGCCTCCGCCTTTATAGTCCTGTACTCTGGCCGCCCCGCCCCCGCATGCGGTGCCAACTCGAGTGACCAAGCTGATCCGGGAGGGAACCCCGAGGACTGGGGGGGGGCCGGTCCCTCTCAGCACAAAGGGAAACCGCAGGGTCTGGTGACAGTGAGGGCTGACCGTCCCCACAGAACATGTGACGGGGGCCAGACTCAAGTTAAAGTGGATGCTTCCTTCCTCTCCCTCCCCCTTTCTCCGACTCTTCCTGCCCCCCCCCCCAGCCATGACCAAATGGCTATGATAGAAGGGCCAAGGCACAAACTGAGGCCCACTGCACCTGTTCGGTGTCCTTTCCGCACTCCTACTAACCCTTCAAAACCCTGTGCAAACAGCCCCTGCTCCAGGCCGACTGGATGGCCACACTCAGGTCCCTGACTCTGTCTCCCCAGATCGGTCTCCCCTCTCGCGGGGAGAGAAGCAAGGAATCTACTGTGGGCCCTACCTTCATTCGGTCCAGACTGCAGGCCCCTGGGGAGCTGGGGTCAGGGCAGGGTGGCCAGGCTTGGACAGAAGATGGAGGTGGGTGACGTCGCCTAGGCCTGCAAAGGGTGGCGGCTGCGGTTCGGGCCTCTGGCTGACCCAGGAATGAGCGACGAGGGGCACCTGCTGGGGTCTGGGGCGCCCAGGGCTCCCTTTGCAGTACCCTTAGGGACACTCCGGGCTCTGACCGATGCCCGCGTACCTCTCCCTGCCCACCGTCCTGGTGCTCGCTCCGCAGGCCAGTGCTGGACCTGAGGTACAAGCCAGCGGCTGACCCCTGATCTGTCCCCTCCTCCTCAGACTCTCAAACCCACCCCGGATGCCCCAGGCCCCTCCTCCTACAGACCCCGCCCCCGCCCCAGGAGTTACCTGTCGGACGTTTACCCCAGTGGGCGACTCTTCAGGATCAATACGGAGGGAGATAGCCCCGACCTCAGGCTCGCAGCTGTGAAAGTTTTGGGGTAATTGTACCCCGTGGGAGAGGCAGCCTGGTGGGCACCCGGCACGGGAGAGTGGGGTTCTGGCCTTAAATTTTTGTCTCTGACTTTCCCCCCCAAATTTAAGTCTCAAGAGTCCGGTTCTCTGTCCTGGGTGAGTTGCTGATGTCTGCAGAAGCACTCTACAAATTGAGACACTATCCAGTGTTCTCCGTGTGACCCTGGGCAAATTACTCAACTGTGCGTCCAAGTAAAGCCGGGGGTCCAAAAGGAGAGAGGCCTTTCTCAGGGATGGGGAAGCAAGGGCTGGAGGCCGTCCGGGGTCCCCTGGGATACGGAGGAGCCGTGGGGTTCACGTGGTTATAGAGGAGGTCGGGTCGGAGCTGACGCCTGAAAGTCGGCTCTGGCTCTTCAAGGCTGGCGGCAGGTTGGGAGAGGCCTGCACGCTGGCACCGATAAGGGGACAGCCTCGCACGGCTGCCATTAAAGCGGGAACAAGCATGGCTGTTCTGGGCACCTCTGTACCCAGCCTGACCCCACAGACCGAGAAAGGCAGCATCCCAGGTAGCCCAGGTTACCTCTCTGGACCTGGGCATCTCCTTGGTAAACTTGTGCTGGGTCCAGGCTTCTGCCCTCCCGACACACATGCGCCGTTGTGTTGTGTACGGTGGGTGTCTTCATCCCATGGGGGCACAAGCTGCAGCAAAGGTCTAGACACCCATGTGACCCGAGTACACAGTAGGCGCTCAGTAAATGCGCAAACTCTCAGCTGTGTGTAGATAGAGACTCGGGCAGGTCATTTTGGGGACTAAGTCTCCGGAAGCACTGTGTCAGAGGCTAGCCTAGGGAAAGTTCCTCCTGCCCCAGCGCCCTCTCACCCTGAGATCCCCAAACGGACAGTCCTTCTGCCTCAGTCTCCTGAGTGCTGAGATGACTGAGCCACCCAGCTCCCGACCCAGAGTGACACCCTGCCCGTGAACAGGCATCTGTCTCTTTAAGACCAAGATCAGTCAACCATCCACTGTTTTCATGGAATGTTCTACAAGGGCTCCAGAGCAGCAAGGCTCCATGGGGTACCCCATCGTTGATTGGCACCACCACCCTCCCCCAAACAGAGATTTCCGGTTCACAAAACTCTGGAACGTGGCATTGTGCCCACTTGGCTTCCTTTCCCCAAAATCCTTGGTTGATGACTTCATCACTGGTCTTGGGCCAAGCAAAGGAGCGGGGTGGCCCATTTGTGGGCACTTGGCCAGCCATGACCTCAGCGGGCCAGGACCCTGACTTCCTCCCCAGGAACAGTTGCTGGGTCCAGAGGCCACACACTGGGGCAAAGGTGAGCTGCCCACACTGCATTAGCTCCACCTGTGTCAACACAGGAAACCAGCCCCCTGGTGACTGAGCAGAGTCACGGGAGTCACTAGAGGGTAGGGTGACCATGATGACCCCGGGACATTCCCAGAGCCCATCCCAGGGGCTCAGATCATGACCAGTATCAAATTCTCAGCATCGATGTCAATGTCAGGCAAGGCTTGGACGAACTTCATGTCGAATTCCTGTGCATCTCTTAAGCCCCACTTTCGGGGCCCCATCTTTCTGTCTCGTGGCTGCTCAGGTTTAGACCATTTGGAGTTCCAAAACAGGGCCTTTTTCCTTTCTGGGAGTTTTGAAATGGGGTTTGCCTGACCCTGGCTCATCTCAAACTGTTGCTCCCTCTGCTCCAGCCTCCTGATTGCTGGAGGACCTGAGGCCTGGCCCAATATAACCTTTATAATTCCATCACATGACTCTTTGCTCCAGTCATGGACAGGCGGTCACAGCCAGGAACCAGTGGGGCTGTGACTGGAACCTCAAGAAGCTATCCTGCTGTTTCACCAGGATGGAGAAAAAAGCCCTGAGCCCAGAGAACAAACTCCAACCCAAACCTCGAAGCTGCCAGCTTAGGGCTGTGTGACTCTTGACAGCCAGACCTCCCCTCCATGACCACCTACAGCCTGAGCTGTGAACAAGAAGAACCTTAAGGGCCACAGGGCTTTTGGTAATCAGCAAGGAGCCATCCATCCTCCATTCCCGTTGGCGTAAAAAAGAGCTCCACAATAGCCCGGAATGGAGTGTAACAAGGGTTTATCTATCTGGGGTAAACTCACAGAAAGAATAGTGATCCTCAGTCCTCTGCGTGAGCTGGGAACTGGAACCAAATCCAGCAGCCAACAACCCCGCACACACTTTTTGTCTGCATTTAAATACATGAGACCATGCCCAAAGTGGACCAGTATCTTAAAGGTTGAAGGAGTTCCCACTGCACATCCACCCACCGATCCACCCACCCACCCAGTCTCTTCTGTGCTGGGGATGGCAGCTGGGCCTCACTGCTCCTGAGTCCCATCCAGGGCCGACATCCTCAGACTTGCCACTTTGATGCTGTATTTATTTACAGAAATTGTTTTATTTCTAAAGCACACGTGACACAAATGTCCTATTTTATGTAACACAGACATCTCTGCTCCTGGGTTCTAGAACACTGGGTCCTAAAGAAAGCACGGACATCATGGCAGGCCCCAGTCCCTGCCAGGCTCCCCTCACCTGCTCTGGGGTGCCCCAGAGGCCGCATCTTTGTCTCTGTGTAAGGCACCAGCCTCCTCCGGCCATGCCGCCCTGAGTGTGAGCCTTTCCGCTGTGCTGGGTGCCCTGTCACAGGTGACCCGCCCCTCCTGTCAAAGCACTCAGGCTGAAACGAACAACAGAAAGACAGCCCCTAGGAAGCAAGGCAGGAGGACGTGGCTCAGTCAGGGCCACAGAGCAGCTTCACCGCTAGCGTTTGGACAAGTCACAACCTCCTGCTCAAAAGGGAGGCTAAGTAGGAGGCTGGGCCAGGCTCAGGGGGCTTGGTAGTGTGCCCAGAGCTCAGTCGGCAGGGTGATTGTAGTTCAGCTGATGGAGTGATCTTGGTGAGGTCTCATCTCATCAGGCTGGGACTACTGGCCGGGAGATCAATGCCAGCATTCCTCTGGAACTGGTGAAATGGGCCCCAACTACTCCTCCGGGTATCCACAGGATTTGTCCGTCCTGCGCTCCTGCAGGCAGCCCTGGCTGTGTCCGACGGATTATTCGCTGTCTCTGCTCTGGACTCTTCCAGACCTCGGGACATTTCTCTCTTTGCCCAGCGTCTTTCGCACACAGCACGTGGTGCTGCGGAGCTCAGTGGGGAGCGGCCCATCCCAAGCTGTTTGTCCTTTGTGAGAGCCCCTGCTGCCCCGTGAGAACATCGAGCTCCTGAGAGCTGCAGCCCCAGCCCCTGGAGAGAACAGCTTTTATAGCTAGAAAGAAGGCGGATCAACGTACGGCTGGGGGCGGGGCTGTAGGGAGGACACGGGGCGGAGGGGGAACACAACACACCGGACAATCATAACACACGCGGCGTGGAGGGGAGGGGAGAGAACACAATACACGGGGGGGGGGCGCTACACATGGGGAACACAACACACACCGGAAGGGACACGACACACACATGGGGGTGCAGGCATGGCAGGCGGGTCCCTAGGGCTCAAAGAGATAAAGACACCTGATGCATGCCGTCCTTCATCCCTTGGGTGCGCTGGTGCCCTGGAGCCTGCAGAGGAGGGGTGCCGAAAGCTCAAGGCCTAGAGGCGATGCCAAGAAAACAAACTGAGAAGACTGTGATGCTCCTTCCCTCCTTCCTCCCTCCCTTCTTCTCTTCCTCCTTTCCTTCCTTCCTCTCTACCTTCCTTCCTCCCTCCCTTTCTTTTTTCCTCCCTTCCTCCTTCCCTTCTTTTTTCTCTCCCCTTTCTCTCTTGCCCCATTTCCCCCTCTTTCTTCCTTTTTTTTTTTTTTTTTTTTTTTTGTATTTCCAGACAGGGTTTCTCTGTGTAGATCTAGCTGTCCTGGAACTCACTCTGTAGATCAGGCTGGCCTCGAACTCACAAAAAGATCCACCTAGCTCTGCCTCCTGAGTGCTGGGATTAAAGGCATGTGCCATCACCACCCTTTTATAGCATCTGGCATTTGGGGAAAGTATCCATGAAAACATTAATTCGTCCAGAGAAAGGGCAGAGTTCCAAAGATGGCCAGGTAAGGCCTCTTTGGCCCTGGAAATGTGCCTGCAAATCGCAACCTGCAAAGGCCAGAGAAAGCCAGGAGGCTCCCTGGGGACTCACAGCACACCTGGGCTCGGCCCTGGGACCCGACCTCGGCAAGCTGTTCTCTGGCCCCTGTAAACCTTGGCAGGTTTGCCCCAGCCAAATAAGTGTAAGGAACAAGTTGTTAAGTTGAAAGCTGGCCTAGTCGGCAGAGTGCTTGTAGCTCGGTTGATGCTGTATCTGCTCAGCATGCAGGGCTTTGGGTCCTCGGCTCGGCATAAACAGGCTTGAAAGAAAGGGTGACCCAGTGCGGGCGAACTCCCTGACCAGCAGGAAAGAACAGCCACCAGACGAGGATTCTTCTCAAATCACGCTTTATTGGAGCCTCTTGGTTATAGGGAGAGCAGAAAGCAAGGGGCCCCGAGCTCTGATTTGCAGCTGCTTATATAGGGAGTCTGCCTAGCAACCTTTGATACTTTAACTGCTTTTCTGGAGACCCACCGGCCGGCAAGAAAGCAGGGGAACATCCCTGTCAATTACAGACCACAAGGAAGTTCCCCTGCCGGTCAGGGGAAGTGTGGGCAGCGAGATCACAACAACTCATCCTGTTTTCTAGTGGAAGAACTGCAACCTTTATTATGTTATCAAGCGAGGCCGGGGCCAAATGCCATCTTGTAATGGCAGCTACTCAAATCGGCTCCCAGCAGACCCAGGACACCCAACCAAGTTCTCAGCACAAAGGAAATTTATTTGTCCCCGAAGGGC